GGGTTCAGCTGAACACTTCACAAAATGTCACATTTTAGGAACCCAGTAATGTCATTGTCAGTGTGTGTTTTAATATACTGTAAGGTTTATGATCTATAAGTCAGAAATGTATTTTCCCCAGTCACCCAGTAGATCTGGTAAAGCTCAGATATCCCACCTTTTCATCAGCCTTGAACGCAGCACTACCTGTGTGAATCTGCAGCAGGAAGAAAGTCTGTAAAGTCACATCCACAGAAGCTTGTGTGAATCTTGTTCCTCAAATCTTTTTGAGACTAATTTATCTTCTTAGTAATCACTYTCAGGTASTACCACACCAAATGTCAKTTCAGTATCAGTACACTGGACTGAGTTCCAGCCAACTTTTCTGTTTTTAAGCTCAGTTACCTGTGACAGCCATCTTGAATACAGTTACCTCCAAAAGTTAATCTTTAGTAGATGTACTGTACTGTAGTGGAGGGTTTCATTAAATTTTAACCGTTCACAAGATATTTTGCTAACAGACACACACATACACACACACACAAGAACAAAAACATAGTAGGTGATGATTTATTTTAATGCGTTTCAGATTGGAACATGTGAGCAGACATGGAGGTGAACAATCAAACATGGAGCAGGAGCTGAGGAAGATTAAAGCAGACCAGGACTCCTCTGCTGCTGAGATCAAACAGGTCAGACTGTTTTCCTCACRTCAAGGTTTTTAGTACTGGTGCTGGATCAACTCAGGTCTGTCCTCTCTGGACTTGCAGCTCAAAGGGGAGCTTCAGAGAGCCAGGCAGACTCACAGCGGTCAGCTTGACGGGTTGAGGAAGGAGGTGGAGAAGCTGATGGGTGAGCTGCACCAGCGGGACCTCACCATCGCCTCGCTGAGCGGCGCCTCCAGCATCGAGCTGCAGCGTCAAGGCCAGGTGGACAGAGTCGAGCTACAAGTGAGTTAGAGCTAGTAACATTAGCTCAGGAGCTAATGCTATGTAGAAATTAGTAACATATATGTGGTGTTAGCTCCACAGCTGATAATATTAGCTCAGGAGCTAATGTTATGTAGAAATTAGTAACATACTATATGTGGTGTTATCTCCAGAGCTAACAATATTAGCTCAGGAGCTAATGCTAGTAACATATATGTGGTGTTAGCTCCACAGCTAATAATATTAGCTCAGGAGCTAATGCTAGTAACATATATGTGGTGTTAGCTCCACAGCTAATAATATTAGCTCAGGAGCTAATGTTATGTAGAAATTAGTAACATACTATATGTGGTGTTACAGTATCTCCAGAGCTAACAATATTAGCTCAGGAGCTAATGCTAGTAACATATATGTGGTGTTAGCTCCACAGCTAATAATATTAGCTCAGGAGCTAATGCTAGTAACACATATGTGGTGTTAGCTCCACAGCTGATAATATTAGCTCAGGAGCTAATGCTAGTAACA